ACGTTCTTAGCCACGTTGATTTTTCTCTAGCTATCTCTAACGCCTCTTTGCACGCACAACGAATCGTTAATGGAATATTCATCACACCCAAAAAATGAACGTTCTTTGAATTGAAGACAAATTGTTTAAGCCAGTTGATGCACTCGTTTTGACCACTACATGCGCATTTCTCCTAGGCGATTTGAAGTGAGCACAACAACACTCACAACTATTACATTGCGTAAATGACTTGTGATTACACAAAATATTGTCAACCGGTTTGACTTTTAGGCAGATAGTTTTTGGGTCGGCACAACAATACTCACAGTTATTACATTGCGTTAATGAATTGTGGTTACACATAACCGGTTTGACTTTTAACCAGATAGGTTTTTTCTTTTTCTCTGGCTATCTCTGATGCCTCATTGTACGCACAACGAATCGTTAATTGAATATCCATCACACCCAAAAAAATGAACGTTATTTGAATTGAAGACAAATGATTTAAGTTAATTGATACACTCGTTTTGACCGCTACATGCGCATTTCTCCTAGGCGATTTGAAGTCAGCACAACAACACTCACAGTTATTACATTGTGTAAATGACTTGTGGTTACACAGAATATCAGTTTTTGTTTTTGTCACCCCTGAAAAATAAACATTTTTTGAATTGAACACGAAGGAGTGAGCCCATCAATGTCATTGGTCTTGATAGCTACATGCCTATTTGTCCTGGGCAAGTCAAAGTGATCACAACAACACTCAAGGTTACTATATTACGCAATTGATTTTTTGTTATTTTGTTATCCTCCCATACAGATTAGCAAGTATCTCGGGTTGGACATTACCCCGAATCCACATTTTAACCTCATTTTTCATTTTTTCTTTGTTAAACCACTAGTACCTTTGTCGGTTCAAAAAATAGCAAGCCTCCAACCTTTCAGGAGACCGCAACGAAACGACGGTCGTCAATCAGATTTAACAATGACAACCGTTGTCGGACCCGGCCTCCTAAAAGTTTGAGAGCTGACGAAAACTTGTGAAAACCGGATGTTATTATTATTATTATTATTATTATGGTTGTAGAAGTTACCATTGCCATTACCGTATCTATATGTGTTTTTTCGCAAGCCGGAACCGGAGACAGAGTGTGAGAAGCAACGAATAAAACGAAGGGGGGGAACAACGGAGAGAGGGGGGAGGGTGTTTCTTGCAGTGAAAACTAGAAAAAGTATGTGAGAAGCAACAAACAAAACGAACGGGGGAGGGAGAAAAGCAGGGTTAGAGAAGCAGCATCGACCAAAACGTAAGTGCTCCATGATAAGGTGAGTGGATTTCCCCTCTTACGCCACTTTTTGCTTAGATACGACTGGAGGGGGTTACGCGTGTGTGGGATCGTACAAATTGTCGAGGAAAAGAAGGAGTGGAGCAAAGAAGGGGTAGAGATGACAGAGACAGGAAGATAGGGACAAAAGGCGTGAAGAAGATGATTGCACTTTGAGGAAAAAGAGAGAAACCAATAGGGAACAACGCCGAATTGGGGAAGAGGAAGGACACGGGGAGGAGCAGGAGGTAAGGAAAGGCCGGAAAAGAGAGCCTAAGGGAAAGGAGAAAGAAAACGGACAAGGAAGGACAGTGAGGTACGACGGCAGGAGGAGACACGACGACAGATGCAGATGCAACTCCTGGTTTAAACACTCGATGTTATTCTATAGTGGTGCGATGAGGCAACTCCTGGTTCAGAAAATAGCCCCCCTCACATGTACTAGTGGTTTAACAAAGAAAAAATGAAAAATGAGATTAAAATGTGGATTCGGGGTAATGTCCAACCCGAGATACATAAGAGATTGGTGCGATGAGGCAACTCCTGGTTCAGAAAATAGCAACTCCTGGTTCAGAAAATAGCAAGCCTCCATCATTATGCGGCCAAACAGATTGCAACGAGCACATAAGAGATTGGACTCGATGTTATTCTATAGTGGTGCGATGAGGCAACTAGCAGATGAGCGCCTCCGGCATAAACAATGGTCCCATCAACAAAACGCCCCAAAGAACTTTGCTCCATAGCCCCCCTCACATGTGGAGTCAGTCTTGAGCAGGGAAGGGAAGCAAATGGTGGACACAGGGGTCCTGACGGAGGAGGAGAAAGAAGCAGAGTTACGAGGGAAAACGCAACATAAGGAGAAGGACCCCTCCCAAACCCAGGGCTCGTGTATAGGCCAGCCGCAACTGACCGGGGCGGACAAACTAAAAAAAACCCACCAGGGTCAAGCCCTGACTATCCATCGGGGCCATGGCAGCCCGCGGACTGGGAATCTCGAGATCCCCCTGGACGGGGTGCCACAAGCACATACTTTTTTCATGAGAAAATTTTTACTTCCCTCAAAAATCCGCGTGGTGATGCACGGGGGTAAGCAGGTCATGGTGAAGGCATATCCTAAAAGTGGCATGGCCTGCCGGGACGAGGTCTACATGAAACATGCCAGTAACTGGGACATTTTCTCATTCAACCATTCTCCAACTCGCTGTTCAAAATCCTGAGCCTGCATGAATCAAATAAACGAACAATTGATGGGTGAAAGCGTCTTCGTTGTGAGCGGTCGGAGGTCCGGATTCACCCGTGGGCGCCACATCGTCGACTGGGGCCGGAAGAGAGGAGGGCACAACTCATGCAAGATTTCTACTGGGTGGAGTTTCGTCACATCCCAGTTGAAATTCACGCGGCATTTGTATACAATTTCGGACTGATGTATGTCATTGTAGCGTTCACTCCCCTCCTACGTAGCCAAAAGGGATGATTACTTAATGTTGGCTCTTGACTTCCCCCAAGGTCACCCGTTCTCCATCGACAACGTGATTCCATATCAAGTTGGGGGAAAGGAGTACATGATCCACATGACACACAAACTAAGGCCGTGGTGCCAGTAATATAGGGCATACGGCCACTTGAGTACTGAGTATGTCTGTCCACTCCATCCACAAAAAAAAAAACTGACAACGGGGAGATTGTTGAGGGATCCAATTAAGGTGACCCATTGGAGGACAATGGACCCACGACATGAAGGATGGGTTTATATTGAGGACATTTCAATCGGATGGAAATGAGAAAGATCTGGGGGACCAGACTGGGGGTCGCGCCCTCCAAACACATGGACCCCCCCTGCCTCGGTGGAGAAGAGAGCGCATGAGCAACAGGTACGCCTCTCGCAAGAAGCACATGAGGCACAGGCACGCCCCCCGCAGGGTGACCCGGGAACCTCAGGTTGGAGAACGGTGGGCAGGAAAGGAGGAAAATAAATTTGGATTAAAAAACAACAGGCGGAACCCGGTCCGTGGCAAAAGGAAAATGATAGCCCCAGCGGTACCCCTGGCCCCGCTGCCAAGTTGTACCTTCAGGAGGAAGGTACAAATGGAACCAAGGAAGCTCCCGGGGACCTCCCCTCACAACAGATACAACAGAGCGGGGGAGGAAACAACATAGGGGAGGAGGACACAACAACACAGGCAGATAAGCGGCAAGGAAAAGTGGAGGCAAAGGGTCAGTCGGAGGTTGGAAGTATGGAGGTGGAGGTGGGTCTGCCAGGGGTTGAGAAGTAGGAACAGTTAAGGATGACGGCAGGAGAGATTAATATAGACCCTTTTCCAGGCTGCGTTTGATTCAGAACCGATGGAGGTGGACCCGCTCCCGGCCAACGTCAACTCGTCACCGGAGGTCTTGGTCCCGGAATGTGACCCGGTAGGTGAGGAGGAGGGGGTGCCGCCACCACATCTACCGGTAGAACAGAAACTGGTCCCATCGCAGACTAGCTGATGGGGAATTTGAAAGTTAAATATGGTCCCCTCACTGATGATTTCTGGTACAAGACATACTTAGAATTATTCCCCATGCTACACACGAGCGCCT